GGAGTAAGTAATGGTACATTGAGACTGCTCACAGAGAAGGCAAAGTTCACTGTGATTGTCTGCATGGTAACATTCTTTTGGGCCTAAATTAGGGTTACACAGTTTAAATCTCAACAAGCAAGGATCCATACATGCTCAGGGTATTTTTTTTAAAAAGCTGATTACCAAAATAGTGAGTGTGACCTATTAAGTTCACATGCCATCTGTGCACAAGGTGACAGACTACAGTTAAGACCTACAGCAGGATTTCCAGCATGTGTAGCTTTATTAATGCAACAAGAAACTGATAGAAGAGAAAGCATGCAATTGAGGCTTTGCTTGTATCCCACAGCCCTCCAGAACTGTTCCCTTTGTGTTAACAACATTCTGAAAGGCATGTTGATCTACCAAACGCGAGTAAAATGACCAGATACTATCTGAAATGTGGGGTTTTGAATGCAAAACACTTAGCAGGGAACAACTATTCAAGCATTTTCAGATGTGAAGCTAAACTTGGTATCTAACTATGATGCGACTGAATACATGTTAGCTAAATCAGAGATCCTTGTACAGAAAAATGATATCCTGTAGAGGTGATAATCTTGGGTTCAAACCAAAGAATGGATTGGATGTGAGAATGGATAATGGACAGTTTTTATCCAAAACATAACACAGGACTTCAGAATACCGAGGTAGCAGTAATAGTGAAATTATAGGCATGTTTCACATCTGTGTTTTATAACCTGGTAGTGACATGCCACAGCTGAGATGCCATAATGCCACAGCAGAAGTACAGATGTCAACATGCACAACTTGATATACGTGCCTAAATGTGATCTGAATAAGTTCTGTACTCCTGTGAACAGTCCATACTATTGTAGTTATTAAACATAGTCTTGCATTTCTTTAAAGGTCGTATTGCTGGGATGCAACACATTCAGCATTTTAAAGTATTCCAAACACTGAAAAAAATATTGTAAAAGCTTTGAATACAGGTCTCGAGATATATACAGTGTGCTGCCTTTATTATACTGTCACAAAGAGTCCTGTATCTTTTGGCCCATACTGTTTTGTGTAAAGCCACTGTTAGCCATTATCCTTGACAACCCAGTGAAATTATGGACTACTTAGGTGTGTCCCACAGTGAAAGAATTGATTTAGCATCTGAACATCCCCTACCCCCAAAAATCTGGGGGCAAAGAAATTTTGAATCCAATTTGACTACTTTAGATTATCTACTGGAAACATGTTCCCAAGAGTAAAATTTTCAAGAGCAACTAACTGTTTTTGGAGCATAATCCTACTCAAAGTCAATGTTCTCAGTCATTCAAATTCTTTTTAAAATGTTATCCAAATATTAGGCATGAATCAGATAAAAGACACTGTAAAAAGACTGAGTATACTTTCAGGTAAATAAATTTTAAGGCAAAATGCTCGGTTCTGAAGCAAGAACAAGACAGTTCAATGGGAAAACATATCTTCCAGCCCCAGGTAGACAATTAACTACTGAACAAGCTCTATGAGTTTTTGACAATCTTTCTACAGCTAGATCTGTTCAAACCTACAGGCAGGGTCTGGTATCAGCTCTGTGCCTGGGGCCTGCCTTAGTATTCACTTTGATTACTTTTACCCTAAAGAGCTCCATACTAAAACCTGCTCTTAAATCTCTGTTAAAGTGTTGCTCTGCAAGGAAAATATCAGATTTGTTTAACTAAATACGGTCACTTATTAATATTAAAAAGAAAAACAGTTACTAGCCTATACAATCCACTGTCTGCACAATTTCAGTTTTCAAAACTACACTGGCTGCTGCTACGGCCATTATTTCAGTAAGCAGCACATGCTCCTGCAGAGAACCAATTCCTGACAAGGGCCTATGGATAAGGACCACCAATATTGTGATTTTTCCGATTTTGCAAAATCAGGCAATGCCCACAATATCCATGAGGTAAGTGTGGATGAGGGACTTCCTGAAAAGAAAATGCTAACTTCCCAGAGGAAGCAACTGGTCTTCAGGGTGCTGCAGCAGCCCACTGGGGTGGGAAAGAGGGGGTCTACCAGTTCAGAGGGCTGTCAGCACCCCCATCCTGATTGATTGCGAGGGCCAATTGGTGGTGAAGGGTAGGGCCACATGACAGGCCAATCAGCAGCGGGGGACAGGGCCATCAGGGCCTCTTGCCCAGCAGCGTGGGGGGCTCTGCTGCATTTTGCCCTTGAAATGACTGCCAAGCTCTGCGTTCTGCCTGCAAAGTTGGGGGGCAGCTACTCCAAATTTGGTAGGTCCCTACCTATGGACACTACAGCATTATATTTTATTAATAACTACAGTGGTTTGTACCTGTGAAGAGCTGGAGTGAGACTTAAGTGGACATGAAAGTACAATTAACACACATTTCATACCGTTTACAAGATTTATTAGAAACATTCTTTTGCTGAGTCTTGCTTATCACCTTTACAACTAATGCAAATACTTGGGGGCAAGTTACAGCACCCAAGAATAGATTCACCATGGAAAGGCTGTCACCTCTGAACAACAATGGTGCCTATTGGGTATCATAAAAAATTATGTTCTCTTTTCCAGATTATTAAACATACCCAAGGACACATCTGGTGTGTTAAATAATCCTGGCAGCCTTCAGAAACAGACTTGCTGTCTTCTAACTTAGTACTATCAATGTCAAGTTAAATTAAAAACAGTATTCTAGCATCCATTTTCACTTCAGTACTTAAAACAAAATGTCAAATTAACAATTAGCTATTCTGTTCATCCAACAGCATGATCTCACACAAAACTATATTGTAATACCAAAACTTTAGCAAAAAGGGACCTGACAAAGTAATATTGTATAACACTGCTACATTTACACAGTTCAGAACTATGAGACTACTGTCTGCAGATTTGGTTCCATTAATGTTTCGATATACAATTAAACACAAACAAACAAACAAAGTCAGCTAATATAATATACCAGGGCAAAAGTGAGTGCTTCAGTAAATCCAGCAGCTGCCAAGTCTTGTCTCAGAAGTTCCGTGAGCTTATTGAGAGGAAACTAAAAACAAAACAAAAAACAATTTTCATTTCTCTTCTGAAATGTTTTTAAGCTTTTCCTGGGAGATTCTGCCTGTTCCATTAAAGTAAATGTTGCTAGGGAGGTAACTAGGCTTGCATTTTTTAAAAAATAGTTTTAAAAAACCCCATCAACCAGCTGCCTCAGAGCTTGATTGAGGAAATGAAACTCCCAATTGGAGATTCAATACTGGCTCCGTGCTTAACCCCTGTCTTTTTTCAAGCACCAGCAACCACTGGTCTTGGACTTACTCAAATCAGTCAGGCATCTGTTTTGTATCCTATCCATGGTAAATGCCTCTCAAGGCAGAGCATGTCAAAATATTGCTTAATTCTTAGGTTCTGTTTTTTTCCAAAGCCCTTCTGGCATACACTTCTCATTTACTGACAATAGAGTGTTTATTTAAAGGAGCAATCTTACTTGATTAGCTATGGTGTACGTTTTCGGGATAGTCATCTGAATGTTGTTATAACCATAAGCTATTGCTGCATCTTCTATGATATCACATGCATGGATAATGTCTGCTCTCGTAGGAGGGATTTCAATCTCTATATTGTTCCCATTCCCTGTAACATGCGACTTCAAACACATCCTGGTCAGCAGCTTTGCAAGTTTTGATGGAGTTTCGCTAAAACAAGACAACAGAATAGTGTTTTGAGCTTATTTTACATCTTATTTTGCAATAGGATTCCACCTTTTTTGTAAAGTCTCTTCCATCAGAAAGAATACAGTAGCACTTTATGGACTATGAGAGTATTTGCCTTCTATCAGTATTCCTCTGGGGTGAACCATGACAGCCATCCTCTTTCAGCATCACTACAAAATAATTAGAGGGAAACTAAAGAATTATTCACTTAGCTGAAATTAGAGGGGAAATCTTTAGGTAGTCAATCTAATTACCCAGGTTAACATTCCAGTTTTCAATACATTCTTTAAAGAAAAAAAAGCTGGGGAGGGTAAAAAAAAAAAAAAAAAAATCAACTGAACTCAGTGCAGCTAGTCTGAAAGCAGCACAGTAACTGTGCTTCCTCAGAGCTCATGACTTCCCATCAAACATTATATTGGTGTGTATTTGCAAAACATACCTGATTCCTATTTTCTTGTTAATTAAGTCTGGTTTCACCTTTTCTTTTCGGTAAGCCAATTCCTACAAAGAAGAAAAAGAAAACTGTACACAATATATTAGAAACTTATCATTCCTGCTTACTAGAATCTAGTATTAACATCTGTCTAATCCAAGTTCTAATTAGGACACCAAACTGATCAGAGAAAATAAATCTGTAATACAGGGTTAGATTTACTATTTTAAGGTAGCCACAATAATCTTTATGTAACAGGACTCACCTTATCCTAGTATACAATCAGACAATAAGAGCTATCTATGCCCCTCACTCTTACCAAATTCTCATGTACAGAAATCACTCCCCCCACATCATGTCTGTAATACTTACTGGATAGATGCAGGTTTTTCCATAAGGATAAATTACTTCTGTGGCCTCCACACTGGTGGGGAAGAGAAAAATCAAGTGTTTAAAGTATGTCACATGACCAACAAATAATATCACATTTATGAAGAGGGTCAGTACTACTCACCTGAATTGCTTCTCACAATATTCACTAAACATTGTTACTAGGACATCAAGGACAATTTTTGCCTACCCAAGAAAGAGAGAGAGAAAAGTGAGCACATTTAAATATAAATGCTAGGTCCCATAGATTTTAAATATATGTGAAGAGCAGTGAGAAAATATTTAACCTCAATCAGTGCTAATGCTATTTTGATTATTCCTTTAACAACCCCCGTCCCCCAGCCCAAGGAATTCAAGGATAAAGAGATATAACTTTAAAACTGACAAATCACATTCAACTAAAAAACCAAAAAACTTTTTTGCTTCTGCAACAAAGACATCTGTGTAAAAACTGTAGCTTTCAATGGCCTGGTAGAAGACGGAGTTTTTCCTAAATAGATCACCTAGATATTCTACCAAATGGAACTGGGTCATGTAACACCTTTAAGTGAGTCAAAATTTAAAGTGCCGTTTAAGTAAGTCAGAATTTGTGCGCTCTGGGACTGGAAAAATCTCTATAAAAAACACATGCTAAGATCAACCTAATGATAAAATCTTATTTTTGAGGGTGATAATTTTAAGTTGACAGGATCACAGATGATGCTTATAAAATACAAATCAGTATCAGAGATATAAAGAAAATTAGCCTCAGTCTAGATATTTTTATTTTCTAAGTGCTGACAAGCATCATTTTTGTGATAAATCTTATAGATTAAAAAAACAAAATAAATGCATTTATCAGCTACCTGAAAGCATTCCCCCCAATATGTTAATCTGCATTTTTACATGGAGACATATTTAGAATTTCTCTTTGTGACAATACATCTACGGAAGTGCAAACATGAGCACTGGAAAACTTCATGCTTAGCTGCCTAACTGAAGTTTCACTTAGAAAATTTGTGTGGCGACAAGTGGCTTTGTGAGGGCACAATACTACAGGTGTATTTATGCTTGAAAACTTGCCCTCTAGTGCTAACACTTTCCCTAAGCAAGATGTGGTAAAATTAATCCAAAGAAATTGTGCACCCTATTTTATGGTTAAATATGAGGGAATATTATGCTTTACCAAAACAAATAATCTTAATACATGTTACATTTTTAGAGCTCTTTACCTTTAGAAAAATATTTTTTTCAAACTGAACATTCAATATCAAGACAGGGCCAAAAGTATCTCCTCCTGAACAAATAAAATTAGAAATATTTGGGAAATTCTAAGAGGGTTGTAAAAAATAAGCCTGAAAAAAACCCTGTTTTAACATAAAATGCTGATCTTGTTGGTATGACAATGACCATATTACTTAGAAAGCCAACTACATATATAGCATATAGAATAAAACAAAACTTCATTTACCTTTGTAATATCAGTGGCTGTGCATTCAATAAATACATTTCTGGTATTTACGTTTATTTTTGAGTGGTCTCCTATAATAAATAGGAATAAAAAATGTGTTGAAAATGCTTGCTCAACTCTTGGAATGATCGAGAACAGATCCTACTCATGGTCCGACATTTATGTACCATTGTCTCCCACAGTCCAAAAATTAATTTTTGCTGCTGTTTCAACCACTCTTTATTTTAAATCAGACTCTCCACTTGTAAATTTATGGCATGACTTGCACGGGAGACCAGGCTTTTGAGTGAACCCATTAAATGCATCTTTGGGAGGTTGCACAGGTCTACAGGTGTTATCAGCCTCAAGTTGAGACAGGCAGAAGAACCAAACAATGCCCATCTGCTGGTTACAAAGCCCTACTGCAGTCACAGGGAGTGTGCTTTTTTCTTTTCCTCCAGCAAGTGCCAAGGTAGTAATTGTGACTGATCCAGTTTGGGAGATTAGGGAAGAAACTTTTTTTTTTTTAGTTCTTCAGTTCCTTTAATCAAGGAGAAGCATTCCAGCTGAGGCCTAGTAGGCAGCATAGTTGGATGCAGAGGGTCTTCCCATCTTTTATTTTAATGGGAATAGCAAAAAATCCAACATTTAAATGCAGACTCGAGTCAATAACACCCTAATCACTGTCTAGACCAGGTGTCAGCAATCCCTGGCACGTGACAGAGCACAGCACATGAAGACATTTTGTTTGGCGTGCACACCCTGGGATGGGAGGCAGAGGAGCTATGAAGGGCCCAATCCTTGTGGCAGCACAGTCCTAGCCCCTTTCTCGCTTTCTGCCCCAACATGTGCATGCACTTGCTGCTGCCAACAAGCCAGGATGGGGCTCTGTGGACCCCAGTGCAGCTGCTTGCAGCCTTGCTGCCACAAGCAACCCAGGCTCCATGATCAGCGGCAGGGCTCAAACTGGCTGCAGCAGTCAGCTGGGAGGCTGCAAGCAGCTGCACCAGGGTCCACAGAGCCCCAGCTCGGCTTGTTGCCAGTGGTAGGTGCATGTGTGCCTCAAGGCAGATGGTGAGGAAGGGGTCGAGGCTGAGCTGCCACAACAAGAATTGGGCCCCTCACTGTTTCCCTGCCATCCACCCATGGCATGCCAACATCTTACAAGTCAAGGTTGTGGGGGGTGGGGGGGAGGGGTGTTTGCATCCTTCCCAAAAATGTTGCTGACCCCTGGTCTTGAATACTCCTCAAAACACACTTATTAGGAAAATTCAGTGACTACCCTCTCCACCTCAAACTGCCTTGGTGGACAAAGGAGAAGCCCAGAGGCAGGGGTACAAACATAGACATAGGTGACTCCACTTCACTTCTTAGCTTCATTAAAGACATCCTGTGTGACTCTGGACAGGTCACCAAATTGCTCTGGGCCCCGGGTCCCCATCTGTAATGTAAACTTCTCTCCTTCACATTTGGCAGGAGAGAAGATACCATATTTATCCAAATCCAAGATGACCCTGAATTCAAGACACCCCCCCAATAATTAGATTCTATACAAGGAAAAAATGATCAATTTGTTATAATTTTCCATGTATGGAATCTAATTAGGAGGGTCATCTTCAATTCATTCATGGGAAAGAGTTCAATTCATTCATTCCTTCAGCAAGGAAAACAGTGGTAGGAGGTCAGGCGATGGAAGAGGCAGTGAGGGACTACCAGCAGGAGGGCAGGCTATCCCTGCCTTTCCCTCCCCCCACCCCAATTATCCCCTTTTATGCCTGCCCACCCCCCCACAGCCTCAGCGCCCACCCCCTTCACCCATTTCCCCCCCCC